GGGGGGTCCAGTCCCAGATCCTTAATCACAACATCATCATGGCTGAGCTAGTAGCAGTGGCTGACACATCCCAGGTGCCAGGCTCATGCCTCCTCCTCCCCCGGGGCGGCTCACCCCCACCTTGTGGCTGAGGCTGGGTACTGAGGGCTCCCAGAGTGCCGGAGCAGGACCGAACCCCGTCTCTCCGCTCAGCCCTGTGCTCACACCTTCTGCCATTTTGCCTCCAGCTTCTGCAGTCATTAAAGTCCCACAGGATGATTTTGAAGCATTTATTAATATCCATTTCTGCAGCGAGAGGTGATATAAGACTTCAGGGGAAAAATTAAAAATCCCTTTTCATGAATTAGTCTCGAGAACACAAGCCCGCAATTGTCCCTCCTTTCTCTCCCGACTTTTCCAAAGATTTGTGAGCTTCTCTCCCTTCCGATGCTCATGGCTGGTCTGTGCCTGCCAGGCTTTCACTGCACTGGGTACACCAGCAGCAATTAAAAGACCTTGTTCCAGAATGATGCCTCCTTTTATTGGGCTGTTCTAGTAGGCGAATGAGCTCATCCCCACAACCTTCCAACCTGACATCCCCCCCTTCCCCCTCCCCTTGCTTTTTAATTGGAACTGCAGGCTCCAGGCAGTGGGAATAAAAATGAGCTATGAATGAACTGAACCCCCCCCAATCCACCCACCCCTCAAAATTGCAATTTAATAAACAAACACTCAGCCACTGTGTGCTTATCCCTCCCCCTTACTAAAGGAACGGACCCTTGGTGGAGAATGGGGACAAGCACAGCTCATTTCTGGGCAGCAAACTCCATCTCCAACTGAAGCAGTTGCGGAATGAAACTATAGCCATTCAGCATAAATTTGCAGCTTCTAGAAGGCTGGTCCTAGCTTGGATCTAGGTTTCTTACATAGGGCCATGGGAGAAATGCGTGTGTGATCGTCACCCTAGCCATTTTCTAACAAGTTCTCCCTTACCCACTTCCGCTTGCCCAGAGGGTTTGGGTGAGATTGTTGAAGCTGCCCAAGCTGCTTGCCTGGCCTTCAGGAGGCTGGGCTGAACCTGATGCCACCAGGTTAAGCTGCCTCTAGTGTGTCAGGATCTCAGGGCCCTATTCTGGTCTCTGACCAGTGTCCCCGATCTTTCCACACTCTGCTTAGACCGGGAGGCTCCAGCAGCAGCTTCCACCCTCTTGAAGGGCACCTGGGCCTCCTGCGAGGACTCCCCTGCCAGGACACAGGGGGAAGGATGCAGCAGACATCACAGAGAGTTGTGTAGCAAAGGGCAAGTTTTTCCTCTTTCTCCCCATCCCCACAACATATGAAATTCATTTGGTGAGGATTTGAGGGCAGGTGGGTAAAAGAAAAAACAAAGTCGGACCTGTTTGTATTTTTTTTAAAAGATTTTATTTATTCATTTCAGAAAGATAAACTGCACAAGCAGGGGAGGGTGGTGGGGGGAGAAAGGCCAAGAGAGAGGGAGAAGCAGGCTCCCCACTGAGCAGAGAGCCGGATGCAGGACTTGATTCCAGGACCCTGAGATCATGACCTGAGCTGAAGGCAGACGCTTAACTGACTGAGCCACCCAGGCACCCCAAGGACCCCAGTGAACATCTAGAATAGCAAAGGAAATATAATTGTTTGCCACATTCCCTCAACCAAATGCATCAGTTCTGATCATGTCTGTTTCCTTCCGGTCTTTGTCTAATTGTATAAATATTTTTGCCAGCGGCAGTTGTAGTGTAGAGAGCATTTTTCCATCTCCTGTATGGTTTTGTAATTATACTTTTAATGACTACATTATGATGTATAATTGTACTTTGTGCTCCATTGTTCAAAATTTAAATTGTGTTCAGTACTCTTATAAAAAGTGCTAAATGTACATATCTATCATATGCATTTTTCCTTTGATTTTACTATCATTAGAAATCATGAAATTACTGGGTCGGAGAGTATGAACATTTTTATGGCTTTCAAACATGAAGCAATTTTCTTTACTAAAAGGCTAATGTCCATACACATCGCTACCAGTAACATTTAAACAGGCCTATTTTAAATAAATCATAACCTTGATGGTAATAGGACTCCTATCTTGAATACTGCTAATTTAATGGGAACAAAGTGATTCCTTGGTTTTAATTTATACTTTGCTGTTGAAATGAGTCTTTCCCCATAATTTTTTAACTGTGTTGCCTGTCTATTCTTTGCATATCTGCCAGACTTGGCATTTTTCTTATAAATTTATATGAATAACTCATACTGTCCCAGGGCCACCCAACTTAACGCCTTAAGTTTAAATATGGTAATAAAAATAAAATCTGCAAAAATAAATTTAATAGGTACTGCATAAACACGTGCCCCATAAAAATAAGGTCTTATCATGCCTATTATTGCCAAGCACAATTCTAAACATTCTACCCAACTCTGTGAACTATGTACTACTTTATTCCCATTTTGTTGATGGAGAAACTGAGGCAAAAGCAATTCATAAATGTGTCCAGGCCAAATTCAGTAGGTAAGGCAGTCTGGCTCCCATGTCCCCACACTCTTATTAGTTAGGAGGAAGAATCAGGGAAGGAGGGCAATACTGGGAATACTGTTCTGAGAAGTGACTCAGATACATGCATCCAGGCCCATAGAGTTATGAAATATATGACACGGCATATTGGAGCCTCTTGCACCTCTGAACGAATTGCTCCCTATTTTAAAATGCATTGAGAAGTGAGCAAATGTGAAATAAATCTTTCTGTCACTATACGCACCTCATTATGTCAGGGATTGTTACTAAGGGTTTTTTTGAAGGCGTGTGTTTGCATTTTCCCATCTGTGTATCCTAGTGGGGGCTCCCTTGCTTGTTGGGTCCAGTGATGATATTGTGTTACTTTTCTGTCCATTTGTGCTGTTAAAAAATTGTTCCCTGCTCATGATTTTAGTAGGTTTTATTATTTTGCACGATGGTTCTTAGATCATAGAAACCCATTTTATTTGTTTCAGGTGGATTTGTGTTAGGGTGCTTCCAACTGACATGCTGAATGATACATTTTCACAATGTGGGGTGCCAAAGTAGTAGAAGAATTTAATTCTTTGCTCTGTGGGTGAGGAAATAAATATGCTGGGACAGAGAGGCAGGCTGCTTTTATTAGTGGAGCTTTATTGATTTAAATAATTTCCTATGACAACAGTTGAATTCTGCCTGGAACCAGTGGTGTAAGAAACTGTACGTTGGGCTGCTTACCCCACTGCTCCTTCCCCACCCCCTCTGTGCCTCCTCCGTCCACCGGGTTGGCAGTATGTCTTTATGAGGAAATGTGGACTGCTAAAATTGTAATCACAGACAAGCAAAAGTCACACTGTCCCCTAATTTTGTTTCCATAACTACCATGTGTATTAGCGACTTGCAGTTGTAATCTGAAGGACTTGTAGTAAAGTTCCGCATTTCAAGTCGGCCTTGTGACCTTCACAGCGAGAATGACCCCTCCCAGCATTGCCAGCTTGGGTTTTGGTATAGTGTGGCAGAACCGGGGGAACTTTCTGGTGCTAGCTTCAGTCTCTAACAAAAATATGGAATTGTAAAACCCTGGTAGACATCTATCCTTTAGTTCACTGGAAAGGACCAGCGTAAATGAGTATGGGGAGGAAGAAAGTAGATGACCGCAACTCATCTCAGCTTGAATGAGATACTGAAAGTCAACATTCCAGCTTAGAATTTTGGGTGGCACACTGTTTGCTGTGAGGGATCCAAGCTCTTGCAAACTGGAGTTAACGAGATGTATTTTCCTGTTGAGTTTCTTTAGGATCCCAGGAAATCAGATTGATTTGTGTAGTTCAGCCATCACAGAGAAAGGCTGGGTATTTGTAATCAAAGGAAGCTTCATTCATCAAGTTGGATCTCTGCTGAGACAGCAGCCCCTTTCGAAAGGGGGAATACCCCCTTCTCAACAGGGTTTCCTGCGATGGTTGTAGAACCTCCCCGCAGGAGTGATTAGGCAGCTTGCTGGCTAGCCAAAAGCTACTGCGGACCTCCTTGTTGCCACTCACCGAAAGTAGACCTGTGCTGTGCTTGGTCGGTGGAGCAAAGACTGGAGTCGGGTTCTGCTTCATGCCCTTGGCTGGGTGCTTTTGTGTAGTACATGGACTACAGATGTATGCTGTGACTTGAAAAAGACCCAGTAGTAACACAGCACGGTAGTCCAGCAAACTGGTCCAGTTCAGGTAATTTTCATGGCTTCTTATGCAATTTACCAGTAACATAGATTTTATTTAACTTGAGCTTTCTGGCCTACCTGTTTTGGGTTGCATCTCTGTCTCCTTCTTCACTGAGTCATGGACACATTAGGCTTATTCTTGCCTCTGTGCTTCAGCAAATAGTGGCTGTCCCTTCCTTTTCACTTGGCTGTCTCCAGCTCACCCTTCAGGTCTCAGTTCAGACATTGCCTCTTTCAGGAAGTCTACCCTGATTTCCTGAGTCTGGAGGATCCCACTGAGTTACCCTCATAACATTTTGAATTTCCCCATCATAACACTTCATATGCTACAATATTGTAGTTTCTGTGTTCTTGTCTGCATGTCTTCATTAGCATATGAACTTCTCGAGGCAAGAAATGTGTTTGTTCTGTTCATAGTTGTATTCTGAAGATGTACCATAATACCTCGCACCCAGTACACATTGAAGAACAAATTCATAAATGCATGGTATGAATTTTTTGTTGGTTGACGGATTCTGAATATTTGCTTTGGCTTGGTTTTATTGGCTGTGCTAGGTTTTGCTGTTGAATGAGTCAGTTTGCAAATGCGATAAAGGCAAATCCTAGTGAAATAGTGCAGGCTGCTACCTGGTGTTTTTTAGGAGTCTCTTCTGGATTGGCTGGTTGACTCCGGAGAGCCCACCTGGAGGGTTCTGAGTCATGGGACTCACCCAGCCGATGATTCCAGAACCAGAGAGTGCTCTGATCTTGGAAAAACTGAATATGTACTAAAACACACTAATCTTCTCTCACCTTCTCTAGCACTGGAAGACACAACACAGTGAGGAGTATGAAGCAGAAGGTAGGAACTGAGTGTGTGTCCGGCTCTGCCCATCACAGGGCACTCTCCACCCCCCACTTCCTGCATCTCCCAGCCTTCTTCCCAATAGCCTCCTAGGCTGGAGGCCAGCCGCGAAGTAACCTTAAGAACAACGTTCACAAGAAGAACCTCATTTCCAGGGGAACGTTCATAGTTTTAAAACCCTAGCCTTTAACCTCATGCAAGGTATGGCAACTAAGATGTGGGATTTTACTTATGGGTCAATTACTGTCTCATACAAACTTTCAAATTAATCTATGGGCAGTCCTAAAACTAAATAGAGCCCTTTTAAAACGCACTCATTGACAAGTTTCCCATGGTTTGAAGCCGCTGCAGAGCCTGTTGGACGTCTGTGGCCAGCAGATGGCACTGTGGTTCAGCAAACAGAACCTCCCCGCTCCCCACGCCCCCTTCACAGCCTACCCTGGTGAAACTCCTCTTCAGTGTAATTACTGTGTCTAATCTGGAAAGACACAGCAGTAAGGAGCTTAATTTCTTCAATAAATAGTAAGGGTAGCACTAAATGCACTTCTCAGCCTCCTAAGGTTCTTCCAGGCACACAGAATTGTGCCAGTAATTATCTCATGATTCAGTAACGACTTCATAAATCTCTAACGCGCAAGTGAAAAATTTAACTTGAAGTGAGAACTTTTAATAGAGGATAAATACATTTTGATTTTTAAATAGGAAGTCTGACCCTTAAGTGCTCAGATAAACCCTATCCTTAATGTTTAGATGATGAGTCACTTGCATTTTACAACCATGTACTCTTTCAAGTGGGTTTGTAGGGCAGAATATCTAAAGGTGTAAAGATTTAGAAAGAGGCTAATCCCGAGACTTTTAATGATTATGTTTTGATATTTATCATGAAATCATTTCCTTCTCAGTAAAAGCAGTTCTTGTGCTTGGACTCAAAGGAGTGGCGAGGGAAGCCTGGGTGGCTCAGTTCGTTAAGCAGCTTCCTTCGGCTCAGGTCATGATCCCAGCATCCTGGGATCGAGTCACACATTGGGCTCCTTGCTCAGCGGGGAGCCTGCTTCTCCCTCTGCCTCTGCTGCCACTCAGCCTGCCTGTGTTCTCTCTCTCTCTGGCAAATAAATAAATAAAATCTTTAAAAAAAAAAAAAAAAAAAGAAGGAGTGGCGATAGTGACGTCTGGTAGCTATAGTTGGGGCAGGGCATAGAAGTCTCTTTGGACTGGTTCTCGGCTAGCCTTCTCTTCCAATCACACCAAAGCCTGAAGCCTGTGCGTGCTTTCAGTTGGAAGAAAACAAACCTAGAACCTTTGTATGCCTGTGCAGGAGGTGTTTCTTGCGTGGTGTAGAAGAAGGTGCCTCTTGGCTCTAGTTGCAGCCCAAGAACCCGTGGTTCCATTTCATTTGGGCTGCAGATTCAAATCAAAATGGAACCAGCATCAATAGTCTCTTTCCTGTAATACTGACTTTTACAAAACACAATTCTCTTTGAGGATAGGCTCGCTCTCCTTGCACTTCCTTTGTGGACAGCACAATAGATGTTTTTATTTCAGGTCAGTTAAGATTTTGGAACCCAGATGACTTGAATGCCTCACAAAGTGGGTCTTCCGCTCCCCAAGACTGGATAGAAGAGAAACTACAGGAGGTTTGTGAAGACTTGGGGATCACCCGTGATGGTCACCTGAACCGAAAGAAGCTGGTCTCCATCTGTGAGCAGTACGGTCTGCAGAATGTGAATGGAGAGGTAAGCCTTGCGCCGTGTTTTCATTCAGGAATAATAATCATGATAAAATCTAGACAGGCCACAGGCTAGGAACAGCCATGTTTTGGCTTCCTGCAGCATGTTACGGAGACGCTAGTCTCTTTTTTCCCCTAGGAAATAAGCCATGAAGATTCTTTCTAGAGAAGCTCATGTTGTGTTATGGGGAGTGGTGGGGGGAGGAACAACCCTGACAATAGCTGACACCTCCTGGGCACACACAATGTGCCGCTCACTGTGCTAAGCGTGTTACCCCACGTCATTATCAGCCATGACCTCAGTGCAGCCACCATGTCAAATGTATTTGTAGAAGTAGCTTTCACTGAGCAAAACGTGGGAAAGACTCCGAGGACGGATGACACAGGGAGTTGAGAGAATGGGAGCTGGCCGAGTGTTTATTTCAAAGGCCAGGCTGATGAGTTAGGTTTTTGGAGAGATCTTAGTATCAACCATGGGTTCTTCAGTAGAGTGAGGAATATATGACAAACTTGGATACTGAGGTGGGTCTGAGCTTTCCTGGTGGGGCATATTGGTGTCAGGACGGCCTGTGCGAGGGGCCCAGCCGGGAGGCATCACACTCTTCTGGTCATGAAATGGAAAAGGGTAGGTTGGTAGTTTTGAAGGGATACAGAAGAATTTTGAAGGAAACCCAAAGACTCCTTCTTGCTGAGATTCTGAGTTTTATCTTTTCTGAAGAATGAAGAGGGGAACTGGCAGGACTGGGTGCTTGAACAGCCGTGAAACATGAGAAGAGAAGTAATTCTAAGATGTGTTTTTCCAAGAGTTGAAAACAAGGAGGGACTCAGAGGTTAGGGCTGCACTTATAGTTGGGAAGTCTTAGGTTATAATGATGTTTCAAACCATACTTTCTGCTTGCGCGGGGGCTACGTGGTATTATTTTCCTAAGCCAGAAAGATATTTATCATCAAAAGCCACCAATTAGCTGAATTTGCAGTAAAGCCTTTTCCCTGCTTCTCCCTAGAATGTGTGACTGTTCTGTGCCCTTTGACTACCTTCTTAATGGCTCAGTGGTCATTTATTTTTCAGGGTTGGTTGTTGAATCATAAAATTAAATTCATCCTCCATACTGTAAACCAGCGCAGTATGCAGAGCCTTGGGCAGTTTTGCCAAGAAATATTGCACACACTTGGATTATTTCTCTAAGAGCAATTCTTGGGATACTCTGTAGCCATTTGCGGGCAGTTGCATTTTCTTCCATGGTGGAGTTTCTAAAGCCCAGGAAGAGAAGTAGCACAGCTGGTTATTTTCCTCTGATTGAGAATGAGTAAAAGATTGCTCATTGAATATAGCTTTTACTTAATGTCTCCCCAGCCAAAAAAAAAAAAAAAAAATCATGAAATACTATAGTACTTCATACGACTGGCTCTAGACCACAGAGGAGCCAAAAGTTCAAGATGATCTCATCACCCTGCAACTTGGGATCATGGGATTTCATGACTGAAAGCAATTATAGATTTAGTTCTCTCCTCATTTTATAGATAAAGAAAGTGATGTCCCTGCTGCTTGTTACCCTGAAGGGGAACTAGATTGCCTATCTCATGTACCCTGCTTTCCAGAAGCAAGGAAAACTCTAGGGCAGGAATGGCAAATTATGGCCCTGGATGCCAAATATGGCCCAAGTTTTGGGGGCTTTTGGTTTTCTCCTTAGGCCTGCCAAATGTTTAAAACTTAACTTTTGCTATACTTTCTTTCTTTTTTTTTTTTTAATCAGGAGATTTTTCTAAGAACCAGAGTATTTGACTCCATTCTGCTAGCAGTGGGAGGCGACTGGCTAGCTCCTTTGGACAGGGCTTGTGCTCATGTGCTCAGTTCCCCGCTTTAAATGGTGCCACTCTGTGATGTCTCAAGACCACCCAGCCTCATCTATCTACGTCACCTTCCTGGCCTCTCTGGGTATTTGGGTCTGTTAACCCTAATCTGGTGCATCATTTCCCAACTGACACATTGGGAAATCAAACATCTGAGACCCGGCTGGTGTGTCATGAGGAGTAAGAATGTCGTTAGGGTTCTAGATTTGGCTCCTGTCCACGGCCCAGGGGGGTCCCCCTGTTGATGCCCATTTGCCTTGCATTCTGTTCAGCCCAACCCTTCCTTCTCCAGAGTCCACAGGCATCTCTTTGCACTTGTCTGCTCTGCTGTGTGCAATCCTAGTGGGACTCACTTGCTCCGCCATTTTGAAGGGATAAGGCGATGGGTTTTTAGGCATTCTGGAAACTGTGTATAGGCTTAGCCAAGGTCACAAGACCAAGCAGTGCGGAGCTAAGGTTAGAGTCAAAATCATGATTAACTTTGGTCAGCACACCTGGATTTACTGTGACTTCAGGCTTGTTGGACCTTCAAGAAAGTGGTCTTTTGGTCAGTAAGAATGAGACAGAAATGCTAAGAGATCTTAGTAACCTCAGAATCACCCCAAATACTTTTCCATTGGTTTTACCATTTAATTCTCTCTTAGGAACTGTTCTTCTTCCAGAGATTTCCACTCTTTAGAATGGTTTCTTAAAAAAAAAAAAAGAAAGAAAAGAATGGTTTCTTGTTTCAGAGACCTCTCCAGAGGAAGTGGTATTAAAAAAAAAAAGAATAGAGACAGATGTTTCCTATTGGATGTGACTTGGAAAAAAGCATTTGAGATAAATGCCTCAGGCACTTCCACAAATAATAAAATCAACAGAAAATCAACAGTTATGAGACGACAAACCCTAGCAATAGTCCAGACTGGTGAAATGAATATTCAGAATTTGAAGATGTGTCACAAAGAGACCTTTGTTAGAATGGACCCGGTTGCAGACTCTACTGCCTCAAGAGTATTTCTGCTGCTTTTTATCAGTTCCCTTGCCACTCAGCAACATGGACATCACCTGAGAGCTTGTCAGAGATGCGGAATCTTGGGCCCCTGCCCCAGATTTATATCAGCCCCCTGATAGCAGAATCTGCATTTTAACAAGATCCTCAGGTGATTTGTACAATGGAGATGTTTCTGTATAGAAAAATCTTAGCCCCCAAAGTAAAGAGGAATCCAGCTGTCAGGAAAAAGGAGGTCATTGCCTTTCCTCCACGTTTCGTGGTGTCAGTGACTCATGCTGCTTTATTCATCCCTTTATATTCTTCTGCTGAGCTAGGACACAAACCACCTCCTAGGCAAGCCTCTGGAAGGGACTATAGTCTGGTTTTTCCTTCCCCGGTTACATGATGAGGACCATTTGGTTATTGTTAGAGGGTATAAAATAGCCAGGCAAAATTCCCTTCTCTTTACATCTTTTGGATCCTTCTGTTGAACACACACAAATCCGTCTCAGCTGATCTTTATTTCTCCTGCGCTAAAGCATTAAATAAAAACCCAAAACATGCAGTGCTGTTCCAAGTAGTGCTCTAAATCCCAGGACCTGGGTTTCAGACCCAAACTCTTAGATCATTGCAATCTGTCCCAGACCAAATTCTGCTGTGCTAATGTACCAATTTCAAAAATTCAATATAAGCAAAATATCGTGTAGAGTCACAATATAATGGCTTAATGACTGTCAAAAAAAAAATTTTTTTTTTTTAGAGAGGTTGGGGAGGGGCAAAGGGAGAGAGAGAATCTTAAGCAGATTCCATGCCCAGTATGGGGCCGGCCTTCGGGCTCCATCTCATGACCCTGAAATCATGACCTAAGCTGAAATTAAGAGTCTGATGCTTAACCGACTCTGCCACCCAGCTGCCCCCAATCCAAACTTATTTCTTTTATTACAACACTGGGAAGCTAGACCTTTATATTTTTTTAAGTAATTTTTTAATCCATAGACTAATGTATAGCAACATTACAGATGACCCATTTGAAGAGTACAAATAAAAGAAAAAACAGGTAATTGCTAAATTGCATAAGATTATGAAAATGGACATTTACTTGGAGAAGGAAGTGGAGGAGGAAGGACATATTACTGAAAAGGAAAATAAATTCAATGAAATGAGAATAAAGGGACATGTTCTATTCCTGGAGCTCTAGGGTCAACAGTGGTGCCAGTTCTATTGACCACAGATGTACTTTGGGTCTTGTGTTATTTTGAGGGAAATATTGAAAGTAAGTGGTTACTGTTTTCTAGATGCTTGAGGAAGTCTTCCATAATCTTGATCCTGATGGTACAATGAGTGTAGAAGATTTTTTCTATGGCCTATTCAAAAATGGAAAATCCCTCACACCATCAGCGTCTACTCCCTACAGACAGTTGAAAAGGCACCTCTCCATGCAGGTAAGAAAGCAATAGGAAGTGGTTTCTCTGTGAGTAGAAGTTAGAACCCATTTGAATCATTTCTAATGAATTAACCTGTTGTCTGAAGAAGGAGGAGGAGGAAGAGAAAGAAGCCAAAGAAGAAGACAGACTAAACCACTGGGAAGGAAAAGTTGGGTTTGAAAAGTGACCATAAATTACAGAGCGGGAAGCCACTAATTAGGCTCCTTAATGTTAGCTGTGGATCAGAAGAAACCTGGTGTTAAGCAGACACATCTATGTTGAGGGAGTCGCTACCAGATGGACTGTTCTTGATAAGTTTTGCATTCTTGACTCCCTTGGGAAAGAAAGATCAAAGGGGCTGTATGACTTGTTTTTCTAGTAGTGTTAGAGAGACATGTCTCTTGCTTATTGTGGTCAGGATTGTCCAGTTTGGGTCAGCATCTGGCTTAAGTCTCTTTCTTCTTCCAGTCCTTCGATGAGAGTGGCCGACGCACCACAACCCCATCGGTGATGACAAGTACCATTGGGTTTCGGGTCTTCTCCTGCCTGGATGATGGGATGGGCTATGCATCAGTGGAGAAGATACTCGACTCCTGGCAGGAAGAGGGTATTGAGAACAGCCAGGAGATCCTTAAGGTATGGCAGCTAACATGGGACAAATAGGACAAATTGGGGAAGGGTTGAAAATTCCAAAAATTTTGAAACTGATTTGATTTGATTTCTCCTTAATGATTTCTTGAGATCTTTTCATAAGATCTCAGAGATAAGAGGTAACTTTTCTTACCCCGTGTGACCAGGAGTCTGTTGCTAACTACTTTCCATGTTCGTAAATCCTAAACTATTGACAAGTGCAGTGCTCTTTAACGGACCTCTGGTTGATAAAGATTAGAGTCATATTGTTGTATTTATTTACAGTGCCAGATAGTATTTTTTTAAACATGCAAATAAGTACGTTATTTTTTCCTCAGAGGGAACTTAGATGAAGATGGTCCCTAAGCAGTCACTAAAGAGACGTAATTATCCAGCTTCTTTCTTTACAGTCTACTTCTCTGAGTGTGTATGCCCTCCTCTGCTTCTGCTTTAGAGGACAGAACCTGTAATCATCTTCAACTTGTGATTTCTAGGCCTTGGATTTTAGCCTTGATGGAAATGTCAACCTGACAGAATTGACACTGGCTCTTGAAAATGAACTTCTGGTCACCAAAAATGGCATCCACCAAGCAGCTCTGGCCAGCTTTAAGGCTGAGATCCGGCATTTGCTGTGAGTTGAGTAGAAGGTTCACCTGCCCCATCCCCTTTCCCACTCGAGCCACACGTCCTTTAGATGCCCGGGACACATTCTGTGCACACATGTGGCTCAAGTCCTCGCACCTCACTACTGTGGAAACCAGGTAGCACTTAGATTTGCGTTAGGCTTTAGAAGGGGGCCGTGGAAATGTCTTTCTGTTTTGGAAGGGTTTGGGTTGTCTTGGTTTTGGCTTTGTGTCGAAGCAAGCCAGATGAGAGCCTTTCTGGGTCTCCTTGTTGCTTCAAGACAGTTTCTCTTGAACTCGGTCTCATTCTCCTTCTAGGGAGCGGGTTGACCAAGTGGTCAGAGAAAAGGAGAAGCTACGGTCAGATCTGGACAAGGCTGAGAAGCTCAAGACTCTCATGGCCTCAGAGGTGGACGATCACCACGCAGCCATAGAGCGGCGGAATGAATACAACCTCAGGTGTGACCGGTAGGGCCACGGCCCTCCCTCCCACCACCCCAGCCCCTCGAGGTGGGACTCAGCCTGCCCACCTGCATGGCCACACCTGGGCTGGGGCAACATAGGTGTGGTCAAGCCTAGAGGAAAGCAGGACACGTTAGATCCTTCAAGGAGGTTCCCATCTCTGTGACCCTGTGTTTCCATTTTTGGTGGATCTGCAGAGGCCCTCCGAGGGATTGGATGGCAGCTCGTTGGTCTTCCCTTCTCACAGGAAACTGGATGAAGAGTACAAGGAACGGATAGCGGCCTTAAAGAATGAACTCCGGAAGGAGAGAGAACAGATCCTGCAGCAGGTGGGCAAGCAGCGTTTGGAACTTGAGCAGGAAATCGAAAAGGCAAAAACAGAAGAGAACTACATCCGGGACCGCCTTGCTCTCTCTTTAAAGGTAATCCTCCTAGGAGGTCTCTGGCCTATGTCCCTGCTGGGGATACTGCTGGAAAACTAGGGCTCTGTAAGAGGGCAGGTCTGTACATGACTGAGTCCCAGGATTCCTGGAAGTTTGCCTTGCTGGTCATGACCCAGACATGGCCAAGCCCCTGCCGGGATCCAGATTTCAGGAGGAGCCAGGCTTCTGGTTTGCCGACAGTGTTGATTAGTGTATCTTGTTCTTCCCCCTTCCACCTGGTCAATGCCCTCTCCCTTCCCTGTCTCCCACCCCAGGTCAGAGCAGATAGCATTGTCTCCTGCCACACACAGCTCAACAGTTTTGTTTCTTTGCTTCCAAATATGGCTTTTGCCTTATACATCCTCCTCTCCTTTCCTGTGTCTCAGGAGAGGAAGCGATCTTTCTCTTTATTGGACTCTGATATGGTACAGTGTAGTCTAAAGGGGGTTGGCTGTGGACTCAGACTGCCTAGTTCCATTCTGGATACCACTACTTACTGGAAAAGCTTGATCACATTATCCCAACCTATTTCCTGATGCCTAAAAATGGTGTCATTGTAATGTCTACCTCAGAGCATATTTAAATATGTGGAGTTTGGAAGGTAGTAAATATACATAGAATATGAAATATTGTTCCTGAAACTCCACACATCAAAAACTGAGCGAATTCTCCCACTCTCACCATCATATTGGTTCCTTTTCGGAATTTCCTCCTTAGTCTCCATCATTACCATGTGTTGTCACAGGAGCTAAGATCCTCAGTTGTCCTCACTCATCGGTCTCTCAGACTTGTTGATGTTCTGAAAGGTCTCTCAGATTTATCCCCTTCCTCTCCGTGTCTGCAGCCTCTGCACAGGTTCAAATTCGTCAGAATTTTTCAGCTGACCTCTGTGCACCTTTTCTTCCATCTACCCAACCCCCATACGGCCACCAGAGTTACCTCACTTAAGAACTGACTAAAGAACATGCTGTTACCCTTAAGGTGCAGCCTGGTAGCACTGAAGGCCCCTGGAAGGGAGCCTGGCCTCCTGCTTTTTCCAGCTGCAGGTCCCGCCAGTAGGCCCCCACCTGCCCTCACCTCTCTCGGTTCCTCAGTGGGCTTTTAGGCTCCTTCACTGCTTTTTCCAACATGGCCAACTGCATGACTTTTTCATTCCCGTGATGCTTGCTTTTTTCTTGCCAGAAGATAAGGCATCGTAGATGATTGTATCTGTATCTGTCTCCCTCCCCACGGTCCAGACTGTGTTTTCCTTGTGGTCAGTAACAGAATCTGACTTGTTAGTTTACAGAACACCAGCACAGGCCTGATACACAGAGATCACTCCTAACTGTTTTGACATCTAAATTTAGACATACTTTGAAAGATTAGAGTTTTAGAACTGGCATTTTGAGAGAAGGTGATTTTTTTTTTTTAAGGAAAAAAAAAAAACTCTTCAAGCACATTCTTTTTTTATTCCATATTGCTATGTGAGGGTGTGAACAAGAATGTATTAAAAATATACTGGCTTTATATTCTTTTGGCAAAATATACTCTGAAAATAATGTTCTTCCAATCAGCCTTTAACACTGGAACAGAACATATGTCAAAATGCACGTCTGGGAGGTTTTATTTATTTTTTTTTTTTAGCAAATGTGACTAGAAATCTCTCTAACAATTATTATACATACAGGTTAAAAAAATCTTTTGTGATATCAGTTGATCTATTATTTTATTATAATAATTTAAACATACAAGTAATGAAAAATCTTTATGTGTAGCTTTTATATCTTTAAGGCAAAATAAAATTATAAATATAAATCAAACTATATCATCAGTAAATGAAAGCAATGTTCATTATTCTCCTTTTAAACTTTTGAGTTCTTTTTTGCTATCAGATGAACAAGGTATCCTGCTACCAATTTTGACAATATATGGAGAATGTTTTTCATGTCAATAAATACTATATTGCAACACTATCCCATAGAAATACAATGCAAGCCAAATATGTAACTTCAAATTTTCAAATGGCCACATAAAATGAAACAGGTGAATTTAATCCTGAATTATTTTTATTTAATCCAGTATCTCCAAAACATTACTTTGACACATAATCAAGATACAAAAAGTATTATTAAGCCATTTTGCATTTTTGCACTAACTCCTCAAAGTCCGGTGAGTATTTTACACACTTAGAGTGTATCTCATATAACCACATTTCAAGTGCTCACTATCCACACAGGACTACTAGTCACTACCGTATTAGACAGCATCGTTCTGTAGGGTCAAAGAAAGAGGAAGTAGACTTTTGGGTTATAAAATAAATATCAGCTTTTTTATATTTACTTTTGTCCTCTCTAATCTACTGAAACTTTCAAGATGGACAAATTCAATCTAGAGCACAAATTAATTTATGCATCCTCCCAAAAGATTCAACACTGCTTATTTTTAATTCTGTGCCCATTTAATTTCTCCAAATTTCTTCAGGAGAACAGTCGTCTAGAAAATGAGCTTCTGGAAAATGCAGAGAAGTTGGCAGAGTATGAAAATCTGACAAACAAACTCCAGCGAAATTTGGAAAACGTGCTAGCCGAAAAGGTAAATCCGTTTAAATTTGATCTCCTGACACGCAGCCCAAAGTGTAGTTTACTCAAAAGCGCAGAAGCAATGCCCCCAAGGAAGTTTCTATTAGGGAAGTATTTTGATGGCTCAAGGAGGCCGTCAGTTTGGCAGGGATATAATTTCAGAGCTTGGATATGAGGGAAAATACTGCCTAGCGCTGAGACGTGATCCCTGCCTTAGCTGAACACACCGCTCTAGTATTTTCTTCCCATCATGCAGTTGGTAATGTTCTGCTTAAATGTCACATTCCTTTCATACTCAAGAGACCATCCTCTGGGTGAACACCAGAATCTGGGGCTTTTGGTGGGTTAAAGGTCCAAGAGAGATACTTGGGGAAAATGAAAACTATGCCCTTTCTCTGTTTCTAGTTTGGTGACCTTGATCCCAGCAGTGCCGAATTCTTTCTGCAAGAGGAGAGGCTGACCCAGATGAGAAACGAATATGAGCAGCAGTGTAGGGTGAGTGACTAAGGAGAACCCAACAGGTGCAGGAGGGCCGGGGTTCAAGGCCCACATCACCATTTACTAGTGACCATAGGCAGGTCACTTAATAATCTGTGGGTGCCTCAATTCCTCATTGGTAAGACGGGAAACATGAGGGTTTCCCGCTCAGTAGCTTATTGTGAAGAGTCAATGGGTGAATATTTGTGAAGTGCTTAGAACAGGGCCTGGACCTAGGAAGCACTTAACCCAAACGTTAGCTGTATCCCCAAAATATTAGGAAATCATGCAAACTGCATTTAAGTCTGCTTTATCTAGGTCAGAAATTACTAGTGCTTAGAGGAGAATATCATTTCATTCCAAGTGGAGAAACACATGGTCATGTTGATAGGCTTATTCCAAAATGAGCCTTTCTTAATCAAACACCGCAGACTAATCTGATGTAATTTGCTTTGTCCTGTGGTTTTTGGGTTTTTTTCCTGAATACATTCCTTATTTTATTTACAAAATGCAAATGAAGCAAAACCACTCAAGTCTTCAACCAGTAAATCCTCAAACATTCCTACCAGAAAAGACAAAAACGTCCTTATAAATAATAGGAATCTTTGATTTTTTTTTTTTTTTTTTTTAAGTAACTCTCCCAAGTTTAGGCATTTGGGATTTTTTTTCCCCTTAAATCACAAACACTTGTGGCTCTTAACAAGGGTAAATATAACAGTTCTAATAACTACTTTAGATGAAAATTATACTCATGCAGAAACGAGGAAAATAATCACATCCTTATGAGGGTGCTCATGGCCTGCCTTCCCAGGAAATACATGTGCACATTTTGAGAAAAGAAATGAAACAATAGTGCCACTTTTACAATTAAGTTTTGACTCTAGGCTCTAATCAAGGAGAGGTATTTTCCTTATAGATCTTAAAAGTTATGATTTCTTTAGTAAAATCTGTCATCTCTATCTCCCCAAACTCCCCAAATTCACACAGTGTTTCTTTTTTTTTAATAGATTTATATACCACTCCCCCATACAATTCATCCATTTAAGGTGTACAGTTCAGTATCTTTTAGTATACTCACAGAATTATACAATCATTGTCATAATCAATCAAGGTTAGAGTATTTTCATCACCCCAAAAAGAAACTCCCACTCCACTTAGCTATAATCTCTCCCTAGGCAAATAATAATCTACTTTTTGTCTCTGTAGATTCACCTGTTCTTTACATTTTATGTAAATGGAATAATAAAATACATGGTCGTTAGTTTCTGGCCTCCTTCACTTAACCATAATGTTGTCATGGCCCATCCTTGTTGTAGCATGCATCAGCCCTCCCTTCCTTTTATTGCTGCGTTCTAGTCCCTTGTATGGTTACGCACATTTTATTTACCCATTCATTAGTTGATGAATATCGGGGTTAGTCTGTTATGAATAATGCCGCTGTGAATATCTGTATGTAAGTTTTTGTGTGGCTAGGTTTTCATTTCTCTTGGGTATCTAGCTAGGAGGGGAATTGCTGGGTTAGAAGATCACTGCATGTTTAACCTTCGGAGGAACTGCCAAACTTTTCCCAAGAGGGTTGCACCATTTTACATTCCCACCAATATGAGCGTTCCAGTTTCTGCACATCCTTGCCAACAGTTGTTCTGGCTGTGGCTTTTGGAGTTGAGCCATCCCTCGGGGTTATGAAATGGTACCTTCCTGGGTGTTTTATTTGCATTTCCCTGATGACGAAGCCTTTGCGTATCTCTTCAAGTGCTTATCAGCATCCCTCTTTTGGAAAAAGATCTATCTGACATCCTTTGCTTAATTTTTTTTTTTTT